TTTCACTTCTTAGTTTTCAGTTGTACATGACGGTCATAGTGGCTGCAGAAGAGATGTGCCGTAGCTCACGTTGTTGAGACAATTTCCCCGAAGCCTTTTTTACAAGTTATATTGTTATGCATACTGCAGATGACAAAACTGAGGACTAAGGAGAGGTACCTAAAGCTCAGTTGACAGGCATGGGTCTCTGGCTCCCAGCCCTGTATTTTCAGAGGAAAACCCAGACATCATCCACTAGAGACTCCTCAAGCCCTTCTCTCAAGGAAGAAGAAAGAACCCCCCTGACATTTATAAGTTACAAAGTTAACAGACTTCCAGTTGTGAGCCTTTGTTCTCCTGCATTCCTACCAGAATTGCCCTGTAGGAGTTGGGGGGGGGGGTGCCCTTTGGAATAGACTCCCTAGTTCAGTTCCAGTTTTGCACCGTCCATGAGCTGTGCAGTCGCAGGAAAGTGACTTAAACTGTCTGTGTCTCCGATTCCCCAGCTGTGAAATGGGAGTACCAGCACCACAGACGTCATAGCATGAGATGATTTAACACGTGAGCGTGCTTACACGCAGTACCTGTCGTGTAGCTTTGTTGTTTTGTGTAGGTAGGTTACCGTGTTCCTCAATCAAGGAAGGAGCCGGCCCACAGCCCACGGGACGCGTGATTCCATGGGACGAAAAGAGAAGGAAAGAGAGAGAAAGGAATGGTTTAGGTGCTGGTAGTCAGTGAGAGAAGAGTTGACAGCATTGAGGCTTGTCAGGCGGCAGGTTCCCGAGATGATGCCTGTCAAGGTCACAGTGCAGAGTCCGCACAGAGCAGGCTGAGGATCCAGGAAGTGGCACCTGTTACTCTAGCCCTGAATGACTCCATGACTAATATATGTTACGCTACTTAGAGCACGACTCGATAACCGATAGCTGTTGTTATTTAGATAGAACCTGAGTCTTTACTGTCCCCATAAGCCAACTCCCATGCAATATTCCAGACGACAAACGGTCATTAGCCGAGTGTGTAAAACCATCTGCTGCCAGAAAGCCACTATAATTGATGACCAGGCCACTCTCCAGTCCCTAAAAGGGGAAGCCGTTTTGAAATGAGTTGATGCCGACAAGGCTTTTTGAAGGTTGCTGTCTCCTTTCCATGTTAACTAAATGGTGCTTCTGGCTTAAAAAGAAGAATCTGGGGGCGCCTGGGTGGCGCAGTCGGTTAAGCGTCCGACTTCAGCCAGGTCACGATCTCGCGGTCCGTGAGTTCGAGCCCCGCGTTAGGCTCTGGGCTGATGGCTCAGAGCCTGGAGCCTGTTTCCGATTCTGTGTCTCCCTCTCTCTCTGCCCCTCCCCCGTTCATGCTCTGTCTCTCTCTGTCCCAAAAATAAATAAACGTTGAAAAAAAAATTTTTTTTAAAAAAAAGAAGAATCTGGAATGTAAGAAACGAGCGATGGAATCGTCAGGGATTTGGTGATAGTGTGTCACCTGAAGATCACTTGCATCACAAGGCCCAGCTATTAATGATAAAAATGCGTTTTCAAGGTGTTTACTCTTTTTTTTTTTTTCTCAAATCGAGGGAAATAGGACTTGGAAGGCATAGGGGATTTTAAGAAATCGGTAATACACTTGTCACACCAGCCACCTGAGAGGGAAAGGGTTCTACAGATACCATCTTGGAATTCAAATGTGACTGTCAAGTAATGTATTCATTCAACAGCTATTTTTTTAATGTTTATTTTTTGAGAGGGAGAGAAAAAGAGACCAGGCATGAGCAGAGGAGGGGCAGAGGGAGGGGAAGACACAGAATCCGAAGCAGGCTCCAGGCTCCAAGCTGTCAGCACAGAGCCTGATGCGGGGCTTGAACTCACAAACTTTGAGATCGTGACCTGAGCCAAAGTTGGATGCTCAACCCACTGAGCCACCCAGGTGGCCAACAGCTATTTTTTGAGGGCCAGATCAGAAAAAGGATGAGGTGTCCTTGGAAGCCACAGGTGGCCTTATGGTGTGCAGTTTTACAACCAGACTGGGAACTGCTTTCCAGAGGCCTAAGGAATTCGTCTGATTTTCCCTTAAGCTCCAACAAGCAGTGCTCATTTGGCACTGGGCTGAGTCATGTGGCCCACGCATACACAAACTGAGGTTTGCTGGGGAGAGGCCTCTGAATTTGGAGCTGCCGGGTCAGTTCCAGGGTGTTTTTGCTCTGAGCTCTAGACTCTGACAGCCTAAGAATGGACTACTATACCAATCAGCAGATTTTCTTGGCGAGCTCGTATTATTTCAGAAGGGAGAGGATTGTTGCCCGAGGAACCGAGTGAGCCTGTTTGCAGTGGGGAACAACTGTGTCCTCCTCAGGCCCCTGTGCCTCTGTCCACTGCACCCCCGCTCCCTCAGGGGCACCCCTCTTTCCTACATCCCAGACTCTCAGGAACCCTTTCTCAGAGTGTGCAGCCATGCACTCATCTGCCCGACCTTGAGAGAGCCCACCCTGTGGCAGCTTCCTGGAGGTTGGTTGAGATGTATTCCTAGCGTGTATCTCTAAGCAAAGATGGGCGATGGCAGGCAGCCAGTCCAGAACTTCAGATTTGATATGTTCTTTCTTTATCCCCTCATCCAACAAACACTGATCAAGAATCCCGCCTTGTGTCGGCGTAGTCTAGATAGGGTGAATAAGGGTTGTTTGTGGACTTAAAATCTACAGAAGACAGACAAATAGGACAGCCTGCAAAAGCACAAAATGGAAAAGAGCTGGCCGGGTCAGATCACGATAAACTCCCCTGTGGCCAGAGCGTAGGCTAGATAAGGATCAAGGTGAGCCCAGTCCCTAGGCTGTTACTGTAAGCGGAACCTGTAGAGTAGATCTTGTAGCAGTGGGAGACCATGACTCTTAAAAAAATTTTCTAATGTTTATTTATGTTTTGAGAGAGAGAGCTCAAGGGGGGCGGGGCGGAGAGAGGGGGACAGAGGATCCAAAGCAGGCTCTGTGCTGACAGCAGACCTGGGGCTCGAACCCACGAACTTCGAGATCATGACCTGAGCCCAAGTAGGATGCTCAGCCGACAGAACCACCAGGTGCCCCCACAGTGAACATTTTAAATGGGAAATCAATATATTAAGGTAGCCCAACCATGAGATCTTCTGTGAGGGAACTGAGTACGGTGTTGCTGCCTTCCTGCAGCCTGTTCCAGTAGGGTGGGGATCAGGTCTCCAGTCCCGGGTGTCCCGCCTGGAGCCACCTTGCCTTTCTGACCCCCGTCAGCAAAACAGAAATAGAACACTCGCCTTACCTTACGGGCTTGTTTGAGAAACCAGTAAGAGGATGAAAGTGAAAGAGCTTTGAAAAATAAAATTTTTAAAGCAATAAGGTGTGTAGGCAGTGGAGCCAACAACAGTATTGTCTTTAACATGGTGTCATTTCTCATTCCCACGTCCGTTCCACACTAAGTCAATTCTTTTAGCGAAAAGGGAAGGGGAGGGAGTGGCAGATCTGGCGTAGCAGGAAGTAAATAAATAACCTGCCACAGGACCGCAGCACGGCAGGGCTTCCCCGTCCCAGGGGCCCCGAGAAGAGCTGGGGTGCTACAGGAAGCGGAGCTGCCTGGGTGTCACCCTGTCTGTGTCAGGGACCAGACAGATCTGCCCACAAACAACCGTCAGCACTGAGAGGGGCCCCCCGGAGGCACCCGGCTCAGGCTTTCCCCACGGAGGTGGGACACCGGCTGGCTCCCACCCTTTCGGTGACTGGGAGTGGTTTCCAGGTGACTCAGATGAATACAATGCAAAAAAATAAAATAGGGACAATTAGCATTACTCTAAGCAAGTCAAGTGCCAGGCCCCCACATTGTGTTCTGACTTATCTCCGGATCAGAAAAGGAAATAAGAAAGGGCTTGGCTTTATTTGTCTCCGAACAAGAACATTTCTGTCCTTTTCTTTCTCTGTGAGAACAGTGGTTCCTGTGGCTTGACTTCAGGACTAAGTGGGATTAGCGCCAGCAATGAGGCTGCTGGTATTACCGACGAGACAGGGCAGGGTAGGCTAACCATGATGAGCTAGCTTTAGAGGCACATGGGTATTTTTATCCCAGCTCTATCTTCTTGAGCAAATCACTTAACCATTTGGGGACTAGATTCTCTAGAAAATGGATATAATGGTACCTGCCTCAGGAAGATAAAATTAATCAATCTGTGCCAGGTGCTTAAAACGGTGCCTGGAAAAAATAAGCCCTTAATAAATGTAGCTACTGTGGTATTAGGAATAGTATTTGGTGTGTATTAGCCTGTCACCTCCTCTCATTGGCTATTTTCTTGGAACATTGCCACCTCCCATGTGTCCAGTGTTCGTGGTGATGCCCTCTACAGTTGGTGATTCTCAACCAAACTTGACTGCCTTATTCCTGTGTCTTCCTGCCCCTCTTGGTAACCAAAGACCCCCTGTTCTGCCCCACCCTGTCCCTGCTTCCCCATCTGTGCCTGGGCAGACCATCAGCCCTTTTCCCTTCCAGACACTTTGTCCTCGCAGCCTCTCCTGTGATGGAGACAGCTATTAATTCCAGAGTGCCGTGACGGCCCAAGGGTCTCCTGGAAAGGTGTGGGTTTGTGTCCCAGCTCCAGCACTGACTCCTGACCACCCCTGGACTCACTGTACTACTTTCCCGCAAATTATAGTGATACCCACTTTCCAGGGAAGGTAGAAATCTGAAAGGTAAAGTGCCCAGCATGTAGGAGGCACCTGGAGGGGATTAAGAGCATGAGCCGTGGAATTTGGACTAGTCACTGCCGCTCAAGTGACAGTGAGTAGGTCCCTTCATCTCTGTAGGTGTCAGCTTTCTCTGTCCACCGGGGATAATCGTACCCCCTACCTCCCAGGACCCTGGTGCGGGTTCTGTCAGGTGCACACTCAGCAAGCATTCAGCAAGTGCTCCCCATTATACTGTCAGCAGCCATGCTCTGCTCTGCAGGGACACCTGGCGCAGCAGGGGAGCAAGCGGGCTAGGTGCTCAGTGTCCCCTCTGACCTCTTCCCTGCAGGACTGTATGTACTGGTTGGAGCAGGAGCCCTGATGATGGCTGTGGGCTTCTTCGGATGCTGCGGAGCCATGCGGGAGTCGCAGTGTGTGCTCGGATCTGTAAGTGGGGCATGTGGGAGGGGACTGGTCTGAAGGGCACTGGAGATTGGGCCTCCAGCGCCAGCTCCTCGGGCCCACTGAGACCTTGGCACTCGCTCCCTCCCCCTGAGTCTCCGTTTTCTCCATCTCTTGCTTAAGAATAATATTATCTTTGTCCCTGCCTCATATGGAAAATATGAAAAAAAAAATGAGGTCATTAGTGTGAAGATGTTTTGGAAGGAAAGGTGCCTAATAATTGTAGTGGGGGGGCGCCTGGGTGGCGCAGTCGGTTAAGCGTCCGACTTCAGCCAGGTCACCATCTCGCGGTCCGTGAGTTCGAGCCCCGCATCGGGCTCTGGGCTCAGAGCCTGGAGCCTGTTTCTGATTCTGTGTCTCCCTCTCTCTCTGCCCCTCCCCCGTTCATGCTCTGTCTCTCTCTGTCCCAAAAATAAATAAACGTTGAAAAAAAAAAATAATTGTAGAGGGTAATTATGATTGTTCTTTCAAAAGTACTTCCCAGTGAGGCAGCTAAGATTCCTATAGCCAGGGAAGTGCTGTTATCTACAAGAAAAGAATTGCTGTTTGAGATCAATAAGTTAGCCAAACATCTCTCTTGTGGATTATTTTAACAAGCAGCCTCTGTCAAAAAAAAAAAAAAATGAATTTCAGTTACTGCTGTACACATCCAATGCCAGAGCGACCTAAGAGAAACAGGGAGAAGGAAGAGGGGTCAGAAGAGAGAAGGATTTCGTATTTCTCCATGAGGGGTCAGAAACAGCAATTTCAGAGGGCAGTCTCTCCTTACTCGTTGCAATCTTTGATTTTTAAACCGTGCCTGCTGCTTCTGATCTCTTGCTGTGTAAAATCTCTTAACTCATTTCCTCAGTCCTGCATTCTGCCTGTCTTTCCCCTGCTGCTGAGCATCTCTCTCATTTATCTCTTAACACAGAGCCGACCCAAGAGACCGGAACAGAAATCTGTCCGGGAGGCCATCCCTCACCACCACCCCCACTCCCCAGAGAAGCCCTCACAGGCCCCAGGCCCCACCAGTTGCTCCCTATCTCCTGGCCTTGTTTTAGATCTTCGTAGTATCTCTTTTGTTCAAGAATTCATTCGGCGCATAGGTGCCAGGCACTGTTCTGAATGGTGGGATTTCTTTACCAGTGTCTGAAATTATCCAACTCACCTTTTTTTTAGTGCTTTACTCCTTTATCATATTTACCATTTTCCAAGATGAGGCCCATGATCGCAGAGACGTTGGGATCTTACCTTATTCACCATTGAATACCCAGTGCCAAGGACAGTGCCTGGTGCAGAGTAGATGCTCAATAAACAATCACTGAATGAATCAATGAGCAAATGAACACATAAACAAGCTCCAGGGGAGGGGGGGGGACAAATACTTCCTACTAGATCAATTCGAACGAATAATCTTGCCTCATGTTTTCCAAATGGAACTAGAATTAAAGAGGCCGAATACATTGAAAAGGTATTGAGTTAATGAAGTGAATGTTTTCTCTCCTCTATAGTTCTTCACCTGCCTACTGGTGATCTTTGCTGCTGAAGTAACCACTGGAGTATTTGCTTTTATAGGCAAGGGTGTAGTAAGTAGAAATTACATGCAATTTCTTTTTATGATGGTTAAAGGGTCTCTTTATGGCAAAGGATATGAGAATATTACACCCACAATGGTATTACAAAACTAAATAACCCCCACGTTTCAAATTGGCGCAGAATGTCTTAACCTGGAAATATCGTGCAGACCTATGCACGGGTGTATATACGTATGTGCACACATTTTTCTGAGGAGATAGTTCATAGCTTTCATTAGATTTATGAAAGGAGCTATGATTTTTTAAAGGATATTTATCTTAAGATTATCCTATTTGTAATGGGGAAAGGGGATAAATTGCATTCGTGAGAAAGAGGGATCAAGAGGAACATGCATTTTCATCCCTTGTTGGACTAATATTTGTCCATAGGGCTCGGCCTGGAAAGAGGCCACATCATCCTTGAAGACTAAAGCCTGACCTGCTGTGTGCTGGTGAAGCCAGTCTCTTTAGATTTGTGCTCACACTATAGGTGTCCAAAATAGGTTATCAGAAGAACCCACAGAGGAAATGTCCTTTTAGAAGGTTAAAACACACTGTGGGAAAGAGGGGAGTGAAAAGGAGGAAGAATGGAGTCTTAAACGTACTGTATTTCATGTAAATTCGTGTGCTATCAATATTGTGTTTATGAACTTACTTTAGATGTAAAAAAAATGGTGAACATGTAGAATAAGTAAATATCACCTCCTTTGGAATGTTTCTGAAGTAGCTGGCTATATTTGCAGGTTGGAGGAATTGGATCTAATGACTTTTTGAGATCTTTATGGATGTCAGATCACATGCCTTTATATCAGAAAAAGCATTCTCTACATTTTCTACGATATTTATATGCTGAAACAGCGTTCCTCAGTCATGAGCATCTTTCAAACCATGTAATGAATAGACTTGAATACTTTTAACCAGTGGGGTACCAAGAATGCCTAAGTCCCCACTCCCTGTATGTCAGAAACTCCTGGGGAGGCCCCAGAGTCTGGGGCTCGGTGGATGCTGATGTCCATTCAGGTTTGAGAACCTCCACTTAAAGAAATCTTTCTAGTCTATGAAAGTTATTCTTGGTTAGTCTATCCTCCCATCTCCAGAAGTATCTGTGAAACTCCAGAATCTATAATCTATTCTGTAAATGCAGAATTGACTTAAAATACAGATAAACACAGGGACAGGCTGTATTTTCCAAGGGTAAGGAAGAGGGGGTTTTCCTTGATGAAAGGAGAATGTTCGGAACTTCCCACAGTTTTCCTGGTATTTTTTCAGGCTATACGGCATGTTCAGACCATGTATGAAGAGGCTTATAGTGATTACCTGAAAGACAGGGAAAAGGGAAATGGGACCCTCATTACCTTCCACTCAACAGTAAGTAACTTTGCTTCTTCTTTAACATCATATCTTCTGAAGACCATGCGTTAGTCAGGACCTCTGTCTTCACTTGGCTTAAAGATCAGAATAACTTTGGTGAAGCCATGCCGCAGCTGTATTTCAGCCCTCATAGGAGCCGCCATTGGCATTACGCGTAGAACCTAGAAGAGTAAGGGGCCTACCTGGCACCCAGCGTTCACAAGAGGAAGTCAGGGCATGTGCCCCAGAGAGACAAAAGAGCACAAAGAAGAGCGCCCAGAAAGCAGCCCAAATCAGTTCCAAGCTGTCTCGGAAGGTGGCATGGTGGTGTAATAGAAGCGACCATGACCTTCAAGTCAGGAAAGCTCTTTCTAGCTGCAGCTCTGCCACTGAGCCTCTTTGCGACTTGAGCCACTTCCTTGCCTCCCTGATAATCACTCAGCTCCCCCATTTGTAACACAAAAGGGCACGGAGACAGCTATGCTCCCTTTATCCTAGAACGTTCTGTGGGACTGTGCCGTCAGTGCAGTGCTGAGGGCTGCACACAGCTAACCAACAAGGGCTTATGGATGATGGGCCAGGTCAGAGTCATCCTGATTTATTAACCACTGCCGTATGGAGAAGTATCTCTGAACCCCTGGGCCAATTGCTTCCGGGTAGCCCCATTCCTGTTTGTCACAGGAAATGGTTGGAAGGTGCCAACCATTTATCCTGTTCAGCCTCAGCTGCCCCAGGGACATCAAGCAACACACAGTCTCCTTTGTCTTTGAAGAGCCAGCCCTAAGGCAGGACACCTATTTGTTGGCCTGACTTCATGCCCTGGCCTTTCAGCCCCTGGGGTTTATTTACTGTGGCCACTTCTCCTCTCTGTCCCAGACTGTCCCCAGTTAATGAGCCCTTCCTGAAGCTCATAAAACTTGAGCTACTCAGCAGGGTAAGTTACTCCCAGGCTGAAATAAAGAATCTAAGGACCCAATTCCTGTCTAAAAAACAGCAATTTACACAAGACACTGTCATTGGCTTCTTGCTTTGTTTGGATTGCCTTGAGTCACTTCCCATCGTAAAACTCAGACAACTTTACCGAAGTTCTCTTCTTGTTTTGCTAGCATGGTTATGTGACTCTTCACTATCTTCCTAGAAATGGCAGTTTGGGTTGCAGAGGTTGGCCCCACAGCTGCTTTGCTGCCTCAGTGCCCCAGTCCTCCACCGTGATGCCCAGACTTATAGCTCCCACTCCTCCTTCCTGTGCCCTAAAAGCTGTTCTCTGACTCTCTAGTTTCAGTGCTGTGGAAAAGAAAGCTCTGAACAGGTCCAACCCACATGCCCAAAGGAACTTCTAGGGCACAAGGTAAGCTTCTCTACTAGGGTTCCCATCCTATCTATACTGTAAGATGGCTCTTGCCCTTGGGTATGATTCTAGAAGGCCATCTCCCAGTGGCTTCTGAGCCTCAGCTTTATTCTATGTAAAATACATGAAGCAATGCTGAGTCCTAGTCTCCCGGTCCCCTGGGAAATGATGGTAAGCTGACCTGCCCATAATGGTGCAAATGCCATGGCATTAATTAAACTCACCAGGGCCAGAGGTGTGCACCCTGAGAACGTTGCCCCACCCACCTCTCCCTGGAAGTCACTGATGAATGCTTCATTTAGCAAGTGAAGGTGCCAAGTTCTGAAAACCTGTGCCAGGTTTTATGCCAGGTTCTGAAAACTCTGAGATGAAACATGGCTCCTGCCTCAGTGGCCTTGTAGACTAGTCAAGGGAGATGGTGTATGCCCGAAGCCTGTAAAGAATACAATGTAGACACAGAAAGCTTCACAGAAGTTGAGATCCTTGAGCTGCATTTTGACAAAGGAAGGTCATTCTGGGCCCATGAAGCAGCAGGAACAGAGGCATGGCAGTAGGGAAGTCCAGGACTGCAGGACAGTAGGGAGTCCAGAGGGGATGGTGAGGGACATTCTTGGGCAAGGCAGACAAAGGCGTGATTTTACACCTGGAAGTTTGGGAAAGGTGTTGCTTTTAGCAGAGGATTATCATAGTCCGTTTTGCATTGTAGAAACAGTACTCAGGCTGCTGGGTGTGACAGGTAGAATAGAAGGTTGGGGAGTGTTGGAGGGAGGCCACGTAGGTGCCACTTGTGGTCACCTTGGTAAGAGAGGATGAGGAGCTAATGCAAGTCATGAGCAGTAGGGATGGAGAGGAGGCAGCCGATTCAGAGATGTTCGGAGGGTAGAATCAACAGGCCTGGCCAATCTCTTGTGTGTGAGTGGGGAGTGGGAGGACGAAGCTAAGACCTCAGACTTCTGCTTGAGCAGAATGGGTGGATGGAGACTCTGCTCCCCGTGAGAGGTGCATGGAGGGAAAAGAGCACATTCCGGGGCAGTTTTGGCCAAGTTTGCACTTCAGGTGCCTGTGGGACTTACATGTAATCTGAGCTGAAGACGGGTGTAGGAATCCCAGCATAGTGGTGGTAGCTGAAGCCGTAGGAGTGGCCTCACCCAGGGAGAGTGTGTGGAATAAGGCAGAGGTGGGCTGAAAACCCTGTCATTTAAGGGTAAGCAAAGGACAAGAAGCCGAAGAAGACTGTGAAGGAGGAGTCGAACTGGAGAGAGTCCAAAGACAGTGGCGCCTGGGAAGCGAGGGAGGAGATGGTTGGTCCATAAAGTTCAATGCTGGGAAGAAGACCAGGCAATGAAGGCTGGAAATAATGTGTTGGATTTGGTCTTAATCATTAATGATGTTTGCTCTGCAGTTTCAGCGAAGGGGGTGGGGGAAGCACAGATGCGATGTGGGACATTAGGGGAGAAATATGAGAATATGGACACAATGACATGGATGCTTCTAAGCATGCAGCTGTGAGGAGACTGATGAGATCTTAGCTCCAGCCTGTGTCCTGAGTCCTGCATTGGACACTTAGTGACTCCCTTTGAGTTGGAGGACATGAACAAGGCACAGCCACTGCCCTCAAAGTGCTCAGCGGCTGCCGGAGAGACCCGCAGGGGAGCCGGCACCACCACTCGGTAGCACAAGAGTAAGGCTGCGTGAGAGAGGCATGCGATTGAAGGGTTGCGGGAGACCCTCCTGATGTGTGATTCTTTTTTGTTGGTGTTCAAGTATCATTAACGTAACAGTCTTCACTTAGTTTCAAGTGTACAATATAATGATTCAACAATTCTGTGCATTACTCGGTGCTCGTCACAGGTGTACCTCTTGGGGCACCTGGGTGGTTTAGTCGGTTAAGGGTCCGACTTAAGCTCAGGTCATGATTTTGCGGTTCGTGGGTTCGAGCCCCGTGTCGGGCTCTGTGCTGACAACTTAGAGCCTAGAACCTGCTTCGGATTCTGTGTCTCCCTCTTTCTCTCTGTCCTTTCCCTGCCCATGCTCGCTCTTTTCTCCCACTCTTTCTCCCTCTCTTAAAAATAAATTTAAAACATTTAAAAAAATTCTAGGGGCACCTGGATGGTTCAGTCAGTTAAGCATCCGACTCTTGTTTTCAGCTCGGGTCATGATCTCACGGTTTCGTGAGTTAGAGCCCCACCTCTGGCTCTGCACTGACAGTGTGGAGCCTGCTGGGGATTCTCTCTCTCCCTCTCTATCTGCCCCTCCCCTCTCTCTCTTAAAATAAATAAATAAATAAACTTAAAAGTTAGTTTTTAAAAATTTCAACAAGTGTACATCTTAATCCCTGTTATCTATTTCACCCATCTCCCTACCCACCTCCCCTCTGGCAACCACCAGTTTGTTCTCTGTATTTAAGAGTCTGGTTTTTGTCTTTTTGTTGTTGTTGCTTGCTCATCTGCTTTGTTTCTTAAATTCCATACATGAGTGAAAGCGTATGGTATTTGTCTTTCTCTGTGTTTCTCTTTTTCACTTAGCATTATACCCTCTAGGTCCATCCACGTTGTTGCAGATGGCAAGATTTCATTCTTTTTTATGGCCAAGTAATATTCCATTGTGTATCTATACCACATCTTCTGTATCCATTCATCTGTCAATGGACACTTGGGCTCCTTCTATATCTTGGCTATTGTAGGTAATACTGCAATAAACATAGAGGTGCATATATCTTCTTGAATTAGTTTTCCTTGGGTAAATATCCAATAGTGGAATTACTGGATTATAGGGTAATACTTCATATTGTTTCCACAGTGGCTGCACCAACTTACATTCCCACCAACAGTGCGTGAGCGTTCTCTTTCTCCACGTCCTCATCAGCATTTATTTCTCGTGTTTTTGATTTTAGCCATTCTGACAGATGTAAGATGATATTTCATTGTGGTTTTGATTTGCATCTCCCTGATGATGAGTGATGTTCAGGTCTTGCATGTCTTCTTTGGAGAAATGTCTATTCAAGTCCTCTGCCCATTTTTTAATTGGATTATTTGGGGTTTTTTGGTGTTGAGTTCTCCAAGTTCTTTATATAGTTGAGGTATTAACCCTTTATCAACTATGTCATTTATAAATATCTCCTCCCATTTGGTAAGTTGCCTTTTCGTTCTGTGATTGTTTTCTTTGCTGTGCAGAAGCTTTTTATTTTGATGTAGTCTCCATACTTTAATTTTGCTTTTATTTCCCTTGCCAGAGGAGAAATATCTGGAAAAATGTTTCTATAGTCAATGTCAAACAGATTCCTGCCGTGTTTTCTTCTTGGAATTTTATTTTTCAGGTCTCACTAAGTCTTTAATCCATTTTGAGTTTATTTTTGTGTGCAGTGTAAGAAAGTGGCCCCATTCCATTCTTTTGAAAATGTAGCTGTCCAGTTTTCCCAGCACTGTTTGTTGAAGAGATGTCTTTTTTCCATTTTGTATCCTTGCCTCCTTTGTCATAGATTAGTTGACCATAAAAGCGTGGGTTTATTTTTGGATTCTATTCCGTTCCATTGATCTGTGTGTCTGTTATTGTGCCAGTACCATACTGTTTTGATTCCTACAGCTTTGGAGCATATCTTAAAATCTGGGATTCTTTCTTCAAATCGCTTAGGCTACTTAGGGTCTTTTGTGGTTACAAATTCCAGGATTATTTGTTCTAGTTCTGTGACAAATACTGTTGGTATTTTGATAGGGGTTGTATTAAATCTGTAGATTGCTTTGGAGAGTATAGACATTTTAGCAATATTTGTTCTTCCAATCCATGAGTATGGAGTATCTTTTCATTTGTTTGTCATCTTGTATTTATTTCATTGGTGTTATATAGTTTTTGGAATATAGACTTTTCACCTCCTTGGTTAAGTTTATTCCCAAGTATTTTATTATGGGTGCAATTGTAAATGGGATTCTTTTAATTTATCCTTCTGTTACTTCATTATTAGTGTGTATAAATGCAACAGATTTCTATATATTGACTTTGTATCCTGCAACCTTACTGAATTCATTTATCCGTTCTGGTAGTTTTCCAGTGGAGCCTTCAGGGTTTTCTGTGTATGGTATTACGTCATCTGTAAATAGTGAAAGTTTTACTTCTTCCTGACAAATTCAGATGCCTTTATATATTTTTGTCTTCTAATTGCTGTGGCTAAGACTTCCAGTACTATGTTGAATAAAAGTGGTGAGAGTAGGTAAAAAAGAAAACAATGGTAAGAGTGGATATCCTTATCTCGTTCCTGATCTCAGAGGAAAAGCTCTCAGTTTCACCATTGAGCATGATGTTAGCTGTGGAGTTTTCACATATGGACTTTATTATGTTGAGGTATGTTCCCTTTAAACCTACTTTGTTGAGGGTATTTATCATGAATGGATGTTGTACCTTGTCAAATGCTTTTTCTGCATCTATTGAGGTGATCATATGGTTTTTATCCTTTCTCTTACTGATGTGATGTATCGCATTGATTGATTTGCAAATATCGAACCACTCTTGCATGACAAGAATAAATCAATCCCACTTGATCGTAGTGAATGGTTTTTTTTAATGTATTGTTGGATTTTGTTGCTAGTATTTTGTTGAGGATTTTTGCATCTTTGTTCAACAGAAACATTGACCTGTAGTTCTTTTATTTTGTAGTGTCTTTGTCTGGATTTGGTATCAGGGTAATGCTAGCCTTATAGAATGAATCTGGAAGCTTTCCTTCCTCTCCTATTTTTTGGAATAGCTTAGGAAGAATAAATGTTAACTCTTCTTTAAACAATTGATAGAATTCACCTGTGAAGCCATCTGGTCCCATATGTTTGTTTATTGGGAATTTTTTATTACTGATTCAATTTCATTTTTAGTATTTAGTCTGTTCAAATTTTTTATTTCTTCTTGATTCAATTGTGGGAGTTTATATGTTTCTAGGAACTTATCCATTTCTTCTAGGTTGTCCAATTTGTTGGCATGTAATTTTTCATAATATTCTCTTATAATTGTGTTTCTGT